CTTGCTAGCATAAGGTTGGCATTTGGATTATTTGTCCCTGGTCCTGTTGGACTCCATTTAATAGTATAAATTTCTTTATTATGTGCTTGCAAATCATGGACACAGTTATCTTGCTTCATACTCCAAATCTTCAAGGTCATGTCATCGGAACACGAGGCCAGGAGATTGCCAGTTGGGTCCCATTTGATAGCATTTACTTCATTCGTGTGTCCCTGGAATGTTTTGATAGGTCTGTCTTGTCCTAATTTGCAGACATGAATGCACATATCTGTACTACAAGATGCAAAGGTGTTGTTGCTCTGCCAGTCAACATCCAGTGCTGGGGCTGAATGGAAAGGAAACTGCTGCTTAGCTTCACCAGTGTGTGCATCCCAAATAATGGTAGTCTTATCTACGCCAGCACTTAGGATGAAATTTCCTTTCTTATTCCATTTTAATGCAAATATAGGGCCTTTATGCTGCCCCAAGGTGCTGGCAAGATTACCGTCTTTAGTCCATATTCTGGCAAATCCATCATATGACCCAGTTGCTAGAAGTGTACCTTCACTATTCCAATCTAGAGAGGTGACATCCTTGTTGCTGGGAACATCCTGTCCTCCTTCCCGTATGCAGTGTCTGAGCACCAGCTGCGTGGGACCACTTGTGCTGTTCTCACTCAGATTCCATATTCTCGCTGTGGAGTCTCCAGACCCTGATGCCAGGAGATCACTAACAGGGTTCCAGGCACAGATGAAAACTTCAGATTCATGGCCCCGAAGCACAACTGCTTTATTGGGAGGGATTTCAACATCCCCATCTACTTCCATCATGTCGGTGTGATTATTTGTGATGGTATGTGCTCCATTCTCCTCCCCATTTGCTGTATTCTCTCCATTTTTTGCAGATCCTTGCTGGTTAGTGGCTGCAGCGGCAGCGGCAGCAGCGGCTGCATGCTGCTGTGCAAGCTTGTCTCTGTAGGCTTGCTGTCTTGTCTGGACTACATCGGGCATAACAGCATCTATCAGGGACAGAGACTCGATGGGTCGGCCATCAAATAAGGTGCCATCCTCATTTATGCTAACTTCTGCCTCTACATACTGTAGGCCTTTCTGGATGATAGAGATCAATGCAGCAGGTGGGACAAGGGCACCATTTATATTGGACTGACTTATATGGCTCTCTATACCAAAGGTAAACGCGGAATGAGAAAATCCTGACTCTTGCAAGTACCTATATACCAAGAAGTTGACCTCATCACTGCTTATACTCATCTTTATTCCCACTTAAACCATGAGGTCACAACACAGGATATAACCCATTGGCAGTGCATTGATGTGAGGATGTACAACTGGTTATCTGACCACCAAACACAAGCTGCTGAGACTGCTTGGCGACGCTGTCCCCTCCCGGACGCGCGGCGCTCCCCTCCTGGCCGCCGTCGGCACCCCTAGGCGCCCTGGGGTGCGGGCGCTGACAGCCGGGCGGCGGGTCCGGCGGGGGAGGGGCGCGGGGGCAGGGCGCAGCACCGAGGCAGGAGGGGAGCTGTTACTAAGGGAGCCTATTTCTTTTTTTAAACATAATTTTTTATTGATTCTTTGGGAATTTCACATCATACACCCCAGTCCCATTCATTTCCCAGTTCCTTTGTATCCACCTTCGTGTCCCCCACAAAAGAAAACTTTAAAAGAAATAATAAAAATAAAATACAAATAAGAGTAATAGTTAAAAACAATAACAATCGAAAAAGCAAACAAACAAACAAACACCCACTTTGCTCCTCTATCTTTCCTGCCTCTCCATCCTCTTCATCATCTCAGTGGCACTGGGAGCTGCTGTGTGTCACGCAGGAGACCCTCTTGTCCAAACAGCTTTACTTGCAAATGTTCATTGTGTAGTGTGTTGTTGGTCTGGTTCAAGGCCTCTGGCCTCTGGTACATCATCAATTCTGGATCCTCATCGAATCTCCTCTCCAATAGCCCGGAGACACGGAGATCCTACAGCCGTGGTTCTGCAGGACCAGTCCCTTCAAGCACTCCAACAGGTCATAGATGGGGTAGATGTTGGGGAGTACCAACTCAAAGCCCTGGATGTGGACCTGGCTGGTATCTGAGTTGGTCAGTCCAGGCTGCTGGAACCACCCCCCTCAGATGAAGGGCAGAGCCAGCTCTCCCACACCCGTGGGACCAGCTTTCCCAAGCGAGGGAGGCAGCTCTACTATGAGGGGTGGGGCCAGCGGGGGCAGGGTCAGCTCTGGGTGTGGGGGGGTTCCCAGCCAGTGAGGGGCGGAGCCAGCTCTGTACCTTCGTGCTTTAACATATGGTTCGCATGGGCCCCTGTGGTAACACTGGTAACAGACATCAACGCAGACCCCAGCTGCATCAGGACCACAGACCCAAACATGGCCATCAGCAGCATCTTGGGTCCAGTTGTCACTGTGGCCCTGGGTGGCAGCACAGACCTCTCAGGTTAGAGTGGGCCTAGCAGTAATGTGGTCCCCAGACTCCAACATGACCCCTGGCAGCTGTACAACCTTTAGTAGAAAAAGGAACCACAGGCTTCAACATAGATGCTGGCTGTGGAGGGACCATGGACCCAGACATAGTCCCTGGCAGCAGCCCAGGCCTGGATACCACCTCAGACATGACTCTCCGCAGCAGCTAAGGCCCAAATGACATCCGGACCCTGGGTGGCAGCCCAGGCCACCCAGATAAGCATGGTCTCAGCAGCTGCATGTCCCTGGGACACCAACATGGCCACAGCTGTTGGCCCGGGGCATCCTTGTGACCTTTGGTGGCCACATGAGCCATTGACATCAACACAGACCCTGACTGTGGAGGGGCCAAGGATGGAGACATAGTCCCTAGCAGCAGCCCAGGCCCGGATGTAACCATGGCCCTGTGTGGCAGCCCAGGCCACTCAGATTGACATTGCCCTAGCTACAGGAAAGTCCTTGGACACCAACATGGCCCCAGGTGTCCCAGGCCCTGGGCATGTCCATTGCCCTTGATGGCGACAGGTGCCATGGATATTAACATGGACCCTGACTGCGGTAAGGCCACGGACCCAGACATGACCCTCAGCTGCAGCTTTGGCCTGGATACCTCCATGCCCCCAGGTGGCAGTGCATGCCACTAAGATCAGGGTGATTCCTGCGGTGGCATGGCCCTGGGGCACCATGCGGTGGCCCAGACTCCGGGCATCCTCACTGCCTTCGGTGATAACAGGGGCCTCAGACATCAACACAGACCACAGCTGGGGCAAGCAGGCCTCCCATATCAGCCCGTTCCTTCCTGCCGACGTGGCCTCTTGAGATTTGTCTATCTCCATAACAGGACCCGAGCCGTTCTGCTCCCCCCTCCCTCTCATACTCTGGGTGGGCATGTGAATGTCCTTCATTTGCTGGGCCCCTCTATGGTCTATTTCTTGAACCCGGATATAGACCTCAACTCTCATCTCTTTTCTCCAGCTTTCAGGATTTGTAGGAATCCCAGTCTTTATCGCCCTGTGTATTTATGATCCCTTTCATACATACCATATGCAAACTAGAAGATCTGCTTCCATGGCTTTGTTCAGACCGCTAAGAAGGTGGAGCGAGGACATCTTCCAAGAAATGTCACGGGACATGCTACCTTCCAGCCTGCCACTTAACTATTACTGGAAATTTAGTGCTCACGGGCTGTCCCAGACAAGCCTATCTGACTACTGTGTGGTGCTTCAGCAAGTTTCTCCAGGTAGACTCACTTCTTAGTACAACTTACACATTGTTGAGGCTGCTTTTCTCTGTGAAATGCTGGTCTTGGAGAGGGTAAGTTGGGATTCATTATATAGTGTACGTACAGTGCTTACCTCCGTACATCTGGTGTCTGGTAAGTACCTGACACATGATGTCTTCCGTTTAGGCTAAGTAGTCACTCCTCTTGGTCTCTTGTCACCAGCTTCAGAATTAGAAGATAAATTCACCAGTCCTTTGATTAAGGTATATCCCCCATACCCGGAATCCCCACTTTTGACTATTGGAATGTGATACAATTCCATTCCCTAAAGTAATCATTTTCAGGCAGCCAAGAACTTGGAGAAGTCACCAAACTTATACTTATAAAAGCACGTAAACAATCTTCCAGTTCCCTCAAGTCAATATGTTAAGTAATTTTAATGGTACTTTCGGGGCCCATTTTTTTAGCATATTCTCCCACTTAATTGTGCTTACTCAGGAACATCCAAGCCAGCCCGAGCCAAGTAACAGAGGGAGATACAAAAGGAATTCATCACTGAAAACCCACAATGTGGAAAACCCGCTTTTACCTAATAAAAAGAAGCTTAGAGGAGAAATGCCAGGATACAAGGGATTTTAGGATGTTTCTGTCCTCTCAGTCTTGCCTGTCAAGCTCATGTTAACCTCAACTTCAGACACATTTTTACTAGGGAAATACCTACATATGTTCTCAGGATCAAACTGGGATGTTGAGTTTATGATTTAGCCAAGAGTCTTTTCTTCAGCTAGACACAGATACATACCCAAATTTTAGGACATCAAGGATGTTTGCATGCCATTTAATGTGAAATCACAGTTTTATCTGTGATAAATTGTTCAGTCATTACACCAGTTAAGAGGCTTATTCAGATGGGGCTCAAACTCCATGCCCTGGTCCAAGGACTCAGAGCCACCTGGGTCCTAGGGCTAAAGGCTCTTCAAACTGCTTTCAGGGTGACAGTTACCCAACAGTGTGAACATGCTAACTTTACTGAACTGAACACTTAGAAGTGATTAAAATAGTAAATTTACTTTACATATACATGTGTATATGCTAGATAAGTAAATCAGGAGATAAAAGTCTACAAAAGAGTTTTTTTTCAAGGATTTTAGGACAGTTGATAAACTTGAATACAAACAATGAAGTCACATTAAAAATGTATAGCAGCAATAAGTTAGTATCAAGTTATTTAATAATTCTAAAAACCAAACTTAAGAAATGCATTGATAGAAGGATCTACCTAACATGCAGATTTAGACAAAAGCATTTCTAGTTGACAAAAAAGTTCAGGGCCTGAAAGGGCTGGGCCTGCAATCACCCCTCTGGAAGGGAATCTCAGGCTGAGAAGGGTTACAAGCTGAGGTGATGGCCTCTGGAGGCCTGGGGTAACAATTGGAAAGTAAATCATGTGACTGATGTGTCTGCTTATCAGTTATTTGTTATTCTGTTCTTTGTGCCTAGTTTTAATGAATCTCAATTTCCTTCCTATACTTCACAAGAACTATCTGTGTTAATTGATGGTTCTTTTTGCGAATATGATCATTTTCTGATGGGCAAAACACAGAGTAGAAATATCTCTGAGCAACTTTTTAAAAAGTGGAAGTAATTTAGAATTGCTTGAAAATATATTTTATGAGAGTTGAATTTTATGAATTTGGACCCTAGCAACTCAAAATTTATGAAAGTAAGGGCATGGATTTTTATAGTTTATTTTGCATTTGAAGAAAGAAAGCTGATCTGTGAGTATTTTAGAAGTGAAAACTTACTCACAAAATTGTTATTATGCTAATTAAAACTATCTATTCATCACAATAAGTCTGCAAATATTCTTAGTTCCAATGATTTGCATGCCTCTGTTCTTTACTGGGTATAACAGTTTTTTATTTTATGGGCTATTTCTTTTTAAATATTTCATAATTCTAACTGGGTTATCCCTCATTAGCCCAAATTGTTAAATATTTTATCTTAGCCTAAATGTCTATTATGTGGCTTATGAAAAGACTATTTTCAAAGTTTTCCAGCATGTAGCCTTTTTTTTTTTTGATGTAAGAAATTCATCTGGTATGGAAATTATTCAGAGATGTTAAGGGACTATATTAAGGAAAATTCGTCAGAGGTGAAAAAATAGAACAAAATAAGAAGTAACTTGTATAGAGGAGACAAAAGCAAGCCTGTGGGAGATGGGGCGAAACCATATATTCTGCTTATTTTGGTAACTTAAGAATGTAAGAGTGGAAAGGAGACAAAATAACACACAAGAATGAAAAGAATAGTGTCTCCTGCCTTCTGCCAGAGAGCATTTCAGGGGAAAGTACTTAGTCACATTCTTGGCTCCTCTCTGAGATATCACATTGCAGGCTCCATGTTCAGCCTGGGCAGCAGAGCACAGAACAGTGGTGGTGCCAGTGACAAGGGATGGAGAGAATTATATAATGCTCGCTACTGAAAATCTCAGTGCAGAGATGTGTTCCATCGGAACAGCGCCCGTGCTAGAGGCCAAGAAAGTCAAGATGAATTCACACTCAAGTGCTCAAACCGATGCAGTGTTGGATAAGCTGACAGATTTCAAAGCCCCGCTGGACCTCACTGTGTGAACTACGTGGGATGAAATCAGGACCAGTGGTTCCATGACCAGGGTCTCTGCTCCTTGAGAATGTGTGTGCAAACACACACACACACACACACACACACACACACACACACACATCGATTATATAAGAATATATATATAGTCATGCCAGAAATTTCATATTATTAACATGATATAAGAAGAATTTTTAAAAATGTAACTGTTTACAC